GAAGTAGACAATTATGATTTTATTTTATTTGCATCATTACAGAGCACAGAGTGCATAATCGCTAGATTTAACCAATAAACATAAAAAAAATAAAGGAAGAAGTAGGTATATTTTTATTCCCTCCAAAGTGTTTTTTCAAATTAAAATAGAAGGTAGTATGGTATTTTTGATATTTTTTTTTAGGTTTATTCGCGATTGTGGAATTTAAGTTGTAAATATCGTGTTATTTATTCAATCTTATACTTTTTAAAAATAGGTATGAATACAGGGGGACTCATCAAGTATGCTCACACTCATTTTTCCTTTAATAATGAATTGATTTGAATTCAGATTATTGGAGTTCTTAAGTATGCTTAAGGACTATATTATTTTGATTTATGTACGTCGATATTTTAGGTACATCGATTTTTTTGGTAATACCTACCAACTTTTTTTCGAATGAGAATTAATTTTTTAACCGTATATTGATAAGCATATGATTTTTTTTAAACGGCCATCTGCTAATTAAAATGTATATTAGTATTAAGAATATTACAGTAAAACTCGTTTAAAACTTTCTTTAAGGGACCACCTCTCTAGAGTGTTTTAAGCAGGGAAGTGTTTCATGCGGCAATTGAAATAAAAATTAAGTGATTGAAATATCAAGTTAATTTTTTTATTGTTGATCATAATTTAACAGGTAATACATTTATAAATTAATTATATACATATACATATATTTTACTTTATTTATATTTTCTATGTTAGGTTAATCCTTCATCTTATTTCTTCAAAATGTTTTAGTAGGTGTTAAAAGTTGTTTAACAAAAATATAAAAAATGTAAATGGTTAATAGAATCTAATATTTATTTTACTCAGGCGATTTTTACAAATTATAAAATGTTGTTTAATAAATATTAATTAGCTACTACAATTTTTGAATCATCATGGCCCCCAAATCGTGCAAACTTAATATCAGGGACCTATTATTCTTAGTTCATAAAGTTAAATAAATCAAAAAATACCTACTGGTTTAAAATTTAAATGCATCAAATTATCAAAAAAGTCATTTTTTGGCACCCATAGGGTAATTTCAGGGAGGACGATAAAACAAAACTAGATTTTAAAACCTATTTATAGCATATAAATATAATTATAAATATAATATATTATATATCCTAACCTTTACTAGGGTGGTATTTCTTGAAAGTGATAAGCATAAGTATATATATTCAAAGCATCTATATTTTTTATTTTGCATACTTTATTTTTTTTCTAGAGGAAATATATCTTCCCTCTAATGAAGTTACTGTCTATTTCTAAGCATATTTTTTATATTATAATATTTATATAAATATAGGAGTTATTAATTATTCTATTTGTAGAACGGCGTTATTGTATATTTATTATTTTTATACTCTTATAACTTAAATACTTAATAATACTTATTAGGTACCTACTGACATAGTGATACCTATGTAACGTAGAATAGCGTGAACAAATTTGATTATTTGAAGTGAAAAATAGCTTAAAATTAATATAAATATTTTTATATTTTATTAAAATAATAATATTCATAATGCTGAAAAGTTCCAAGTCATTATGGTCAATATTTTTTGAATTACAAATTACAATATATAATAATATTACAATTAAATTGTTATTTTTATTTTGAATATTCAATTTCGTCAAAATTAGAATTTAAAATATCTATAAAAAAATTGTGCTTGTATATCTTATATATTTTTAGAATTTTATTGATAAAACTACTGAAATACTACTAAGCTACTAAATATACTAATTTATAATTTTATCTTTAATAATTAACAATATAACAAAATTAGTTTGAGGATAAATTGTTGTTATATAATATGTATAGTTGTATACGTTTGAATATTCAATGTCATCAAAATGTTAACTTGAAACGCTCATAAAATGTGTGTGTGGCTTTACGTTAAACATTGTTTTAAATTCCAGCAGAAAAAGAAATTGTGAGGAATCTTGTAATATTATTTACACATCCAATCTACAACAAGAAACCATCCACAAATCACAATGTTGAAGCATCTTTATACTTCTCCAAAAAGTTGATGTTCCAAAAAAAAACATGTTATTTTATAACTATTACATTTATCTCGAGCGCTCTGACTCTAAAGAAGAAAATTTCAAAAGTCTACAGCTTAAAAAGAGAACAAATATTTTGAAAATAAAATCTTATATGAACTACTGTTATTTAATTTATTAATTTAATATTTAGTTATTTTTTGTATTTTTAGCATAATTAAATTTAAAGCTATCAATAAGACGCTAAACCGCCATTATGTGTTGTCTATTACAGTGTATTTATAGTTAAGTATTTATACTGGGGAAAATATATATATTATCGAATTTGTAGAGGAAAATATAAACCCCTCGAGTAAAGAGTTTTTTGTATTTATTTTAAAACTAGTTATATCAATTTGAAAAAAATGAATTATTTAAGAATTTATAAATCATTTTAAAATATAAATATGAAAAAAAAACTCTTTGTTCGGTCACAGTGTATAGGTATATTCTCCTCTACAAATTCAATAATATGTAAATTTTCTCTAATACTAACTATAAATAAACTTTAATAAGAACCTGGTAGTAAGGTAGATCTTCGATAGTATGAGTGGGTGAGGACAGAGACAACTGTGATAGAGCCCTACTTAGGGGAGGGGAGCTGAAACTCCAGGTCCCGGCATAATTAGGGCCTCCCTATCTATATGACTGTAATTAATACAGGCATATACGTTTAATTTACAACAATTAACATTAAAAAATTATCAATTTATAGATTTATGGTATAATTTATTTATAATCTTGAAAAATACATTGAATGTAAAAACCACAGAAAAAAAATACTGAATTTATAATTTAAGTTGAGGGGCTCCTGCACCAAACAAATAGCTTTAACTTTTCATTATTTACTATTACACAAGTTTAATTATGATAGTGAATTTATCTAATACCTGCATTTGATTTGTAACAGTTTTATACTTATGCGTACCTATAGTACTATGACTACAGTGTAGCGGTTCTCAAACTGTGGTACACGAAAGATTACATGTTGGTACACGGAATGCCTTAACCCTTAAGTAACACTGAACCAGATATTTCATCACAAATATAAAATCTACAAATCCATGATTCTCATTGAAAATTTGTTATTTAATTCATGCCTTAATTTTTAAACACTAATAAATTTGTATTAATACATAAATTATGATTTTATTGTAGTATTTTACTGAATTTTTATTTAAAATAAATGTATTCAACTATGTAAAGCTTGTATCTTTCTATTTTTAATCATCAGTGGTACACAACTGATTGATAATATACTAAGTGGTACGCGAAAAAATAAGTTTGAGAACAGCTGCTATAGTGTATACATCATATTATTACTACTATTAATAACATACATATTACACATTAAGTATTGGGTATATCCTACTTACATATTATATTGGTAGCTATGTGCTTAGTATATAGGTACTTTAATTAGTAACCAGACTATATAATTTATATAAATCAACTTTTCTTTGTTTGTCCACCATGGATTCAAAAACTACTGTCTGGTATTTAGTTTAGGTTTAATTTTACTTTATTTGTCATTTTCTCTGTCATAATGTTTCTCATAAAGGCAAAGACTTCTTAGACAAAGGCAGCAAAATTATGGTTAAAAGAAAGTGAATTCTTAGCCAACTTGCTGGTTTGAAGCAAGATATTGTTGAATTTATCGACAATTCGCAGAAAGATCAATAATAATTAAAATAATGATTTTGATTTTTGAACTTGAATTAGTTAATTTTTTTTCAATTTAAACAATAACAAAATACAATAATGTTTTATACTCATTATAGTGACATAAATAATTCACACAAATGAAATAATATAGTTTTTTTGGTTGAATTTGGACCACTGAACTGTACTAATCTATAATATATATAAATATATCACATACTATGTAAATGGATAAATTCTCTTTCGTTAGTCCCGCTAAAACTCATAAGCAAAGAACGCTTTGAATAATTTTCTTATTGTTTTATTCGCTTTAATACAGTGGTGGCTTAAAAAGAAAAATAAGAAGGAAAATCCTAAAAAAAAATATTAAAAACTGGAGACTTAGCGTGGAAAGTCGTCTAACTGACATGCTGTACAAAACTGTAATTTTTTCCATTTGGTATAATTTCAACTTAGTATAACTTTACAACTTTATTGTTAGAAATTATACATTTATGTACTCATCTTGCGGGTTCCGCAATTCACTGTAGGTGGATTGCCTACTTGATTGTATACTACTCGCATAATCACAAGCGATTCTCATGGGTAACACCGAGTGGGGTGGGTATAATATAGTATGATCGAACGTGTCCCGACTAACTGATCAACGTAGAGCCTAAATAATGATAGCTTGAGGCTTGCAATTTTCACGGTACCTTCGTACCACCACTTAAGTGAGTTAGTAAAAGAAAGCAATTTCCAAAATTCACATCTTATCTTAAAGTAGTGCTTGCACAAGTACTTTAAGATTCAAGATGGCCGATGAAAAATTTTATGTTTTGAACACTACTATACTGAATAAATAATGAATTGAACAAAGTTTGAATCATATAGAGTTGGCATTTTTAAAGGGCAACAATAATGTTCACTTGGTCAGGTATAGTATTATATATAAATTAATGTTTCTCTGTTGGCCCTCTGTAGACTCAAAAACTACTTGACTGTTTTCAATAAAAGTTATATCTATAGATTCCTCAAAACTCAGAGTATATTTATAGTTATTTTTTCAACCACTATAGGTTGCTACAGAGTGGTTCACATTATCACACTCCACCGTCACACATGAATTTAGTTTAGGTTCATGAAAATTATTTTGCTACAAAAATAATAATGATTTAATATACAGTTTTATTTAGAAAAATCATATTAATTAACACTTTAAAAGTATCAATAATATTTTAAATGATTATTTAATACTTACTTTTAATTTATTTTAGGTCTGCATCTGATTTGACTGAGTGCACGGAGGAAGATTTATCCACTATGCCAGCATCGGTTTCTAGACCGTCATCACCAAGAGGCCGGGGTCTAGCGTACTTAGCGTCCCGTCGAAGTAGCCGTGATTCTCAATTTTCTAACGAAGAATTAGCACCACTTAACTTCAATGCCACAGCTCGAGGGAGGCAAAGAAGAACCTCCAATTTCTTGGAGCTCCCAGGTAATCAATTATAATTTACTAAAAAACTAAGACATTAAGAAAGTTTTAAAAATAAATTAAAAGCCTGACAAGACAATATATATGTATACATATATGTGTATAATATATATCGTAGGATACCTGACAATCGTCTATGGATTCGCTCACCTCGGTGCAGGATATATTGTCTGCTCGTGTACAGTTTATTTTTGTTAATATGGATTTCAAAGCACCTAAGGATAAATTTTAAAAACAACTGATAAATAAATTTTATTAAAACCTACTCTAAATATTGTCGTCTCTGAAAAAACCAAAAAAAATAGTTATGTTTATGGAAAAAATAATTTAAACTAATGATAATTGCCTCTAACGGATCAAGGGTTTGAAGTGCGATATTGGAACATGACAAAAACTAACTAAATATTATTGTTTGCAATTTGTGTTACGGTTATACTTCATGTTAAACACGCAAATTGACATTTTGCATGCTAATGCGAGTATTTTAAAGTGTATCATTAAATTACATGATATTAACCAAATGCATGTCAAAGCCATAGAGTGAAGTCACGATGCTTTGAGATTGAGATATTCGGTCAGCTTCTGAATAACGTTAGTATTTCTTTATCAAATAATTAACTCAGAGAAGAAAAGATGGATCTTTAAAACTATGTAACTAAATATTCAACAGCATATATACATATTGCGCTTTTTAATTGATTTCTTTCTACTTTCTACTTATTGTTGAAAAATGACAAACCTCGTTGCCTCGATAAAAATTATTATTCTTAGTATAGTAAATTCTTAATTCACTGAATTCTGTACTTTCACTACTTATGTTAGCATTTTAACTAACAAACATATTAGTACCTGCATTTTGTTGTTTATGTTTCACGATATTTATAAGGTAATGTGCATTTATTCTTATATGGCTATTATAGTGCATATTTATACGTCTTTAAATACAATATATCTTATCTCTGATTATAATATCTAAACCTAAAAAAATTGTATTCAAGTCTTTTGGTTTCATGTATGTATAGTATATACTATATATGTATAATATATATTATGTTTTTATGTTTTATTGAAATTACATAATAATATAAATAATTATTGGCTTGATATAAATAATTTTCTAGTAAAATATTTGTTATGGGTTTATAGGAATTACATATACATCATACATTTGACTGCGGAAATACTGTTAAATCCAAAATTTTAAATTATGAGTGGAGGGGTGAATGTATTGATTTTACAATCATGTGTGTTTTTTTCTGTCCGTCGTCGCCTTTTGGAGTAGTAAAACTGCTTTGATTTTCAACTTTGAAGGTGGTTTCTGGTAACGAATTAGATCTAATTTAGAGGGGGGGATAAAAAATAAAAAATTTTAAGTACCTACTATTCAAAATAACTAGGAAAAGCAAAAAAAAAAAGGGGAAAGTAATTAATCGCTGCTGCAATACAGCGGGTGTCGAGTGCACCTACTTTGTTATTTATAAGTCACTGTGTGTTTTAAAATTGAATTCAATCATAATTCATTGCATACTAAAAATGATTCTGAGCAAAGACGGTCTATTATACTACTTCTGTACAATAGTGCGGTACCCACTTGTCCACATTTCTTATTTTTATATTTTTTTTCTCTATTTTTTAAAATTATTGCCCAATTGATATAATTTGACAAATATTATATATTTTTTTAAATATGTAGACATAAAAATAGTTCCCATGAACTTAGCAATTTTTCAATTTATGCCGTTCACAGTTTATTGGGATTTTGTTTTCTTTCTTTGTTGATTTAAACTCAAGTCTCTTTCACGTATTTCCGATTGTTGTAAAGGATCCAAACCCACTGATGATGGCAAGGTAGCAAGTTTAACCAAACTCTGTTTACTTCGTTGGTTGGCATTGAGGATAGCGGCGGTAAGTCCTGGTATGGCCTCGTACCCCCGAGTCCGTTGAGACGTTGACTCTCTCGTGAAGATGTGATTAACGATTTTAATGATTCGGTTTCACTGTATTGCTCATTTACTGGGTAGGCGTACTGGGATGCCTTACTGGTGACCGTTCAATATTGTATAATTACATTTTGTTTGTCCTGCTTAATACCTCCGCAGCTCATTCGTCCGTACCTACTCTGAAGGTTGGAAGTACAATAATATATACTTTCAAGTGTGCTGGCTTTTTACGGAATTCCCCAATTTTCATAAATATTGTATATATTGTGAGAGATGAACACTATTTCATATTGACTGTATGTAAGTGACTTCTAATATTGTCGAAATTCTGATTTATGAATTAGTTGGACCATTGAAAGTGAGTATCTCCTCATTCTCCTCGTGTAGCTTTGACCCGTATTTACGAACTATGGTGGTAGCATATCTCTTGCAGTCTCTTGTTTTGCGATTTCCGTTAATTCTGATTAATTTATTGATATTTGGATGTTTTTGTGATGTTTATGTTTATTGTTTTTCTTTAATTGATTAAATTGACCTCTTTTTATATTTTGAAATATAACTTCTTTATAGAGGTTATGAAAGAAAACAGTCACGTTATATGGTTTGTTTGTATATATATAATATATGTATGTATACAAATGAAATATTGTGTTGTTGTGATAAAAAACTTGTCTCATTAAATATAATCAAGGAGATCAAGAGAAGCTTTTATGTTAATTTCAAAGTTGATGTACTGACCTTCTTTAGACCCAGCTGAATATCGATGTCAAATTCTAAGTAAATCTGACACATAGTTTACAAGAATACAAGATCATGCATGTTAAAAAATTTACATTTATGTATTTGGTTTAAAATTAATCGTCACCTTTAAAAAAAAATATTTGTTAAAATATGGTTTACCTTTTTTTTTAAACATTTTTAGTTTGGTTTGGATATCTCTTAATTGCTTTACTCCCTACTTCAAATTATTCATCAATAAAAGCTTCAAAATATTTTCATTGGTTACATCAACATAATAATTTGTAGTATGTTGTTTAAATTATTATATTTCACAAGTTAATAACCTTTTAAACCTTTTAATTAAATTAATTGCAGAATACCTGAATGTATTTTGTGTAAAAATTATATTCAGTACTTTAATATATCTATATTTTATATTAAATACACTGGGTTCTGCTTAATGTGATCACTTTGGTGCACGTCATTTTGATTCTATTAACTGGTTGATTCTATAAAACATTTACAACATTTTTTTTAATAATTCAATATTTGAATACTATTACTTATTTATTTATAATTAGATATTTAATGTAACATACATAATAAATGACACAAGTACACGACGCACAAAGATATTTGAATAACATAATAACGTACAACGATATACTGTCATACTGATAAGTTCAAAAATAAAATGAGTTTTATAAATTAATCAGTTTTAAATTCCATAAAAACGATAAGATTGTTCATAAAAGTGATTGAATTATCCAGTATTTAGTAATTCTAATAAAAGGTAAATTTAACATTAGTAACATACATTTTGGTTTGGGATTTTCATTTATGGTTCTAATAAACGGTTGATTCTGTAAACCAGTGATCACATTAAGTGGAACTCACTGTATAACATATTACTGTCGAATAAAAATTAAAGGATGTGGCTTGGCGTGGCGCGTTGGCTGCTACCAGTCGCGGAATGCAATTGGGAGTAAGTAACGGCTACAACTACTAGCTCCCGGATGGGTGACCACCCGGGTTCGTAGTAGTTAAAAACCTTGCCACACATACACGTGTTTGCTACCTAACAACCCTAACAATCATAAAAAAAAAAACAATCTACCGCACCAACCTTACCCCTACTACAGTTCATAACCCCTACAATAGCTAATGGCCTTAGTCGCCGGGCTTAAGTTCAATGAAAAAATTAAAGGTTTGTTTTAATATTTACGAGTGGGTACCTATGTAAAATGTTATTCCTGTACATACATATTTAGTTTAAATAATTTCTACATTCTACTTTATATTCTTTGTAGAATATTCTATCTTGTACTCATTAGGGTTTAAGATTATAATATTAGAAATTAGTTTCAATAGACATGAAGCTATTATAATAAATAATGTATTGTAACATGCAAATAAAATCTATAATAATTTATTTTAAAAACGTACATAATTTGGTTAAGATTCTATAGAAATATAGTTTAGGTGTATTGTTGTAATGCGGTATTAAATGTATGCGTCACCTAATTATATGTAAGTAGTGGTGTGTAATCAACTAATAAATGAAGATGAACAAATCGTGTGGTCGGAAATTTAGTTTTAATTCTGCAGTGTCAAAGAATCGCTGATAGTCTACTAGAATGAAAAATAACCTTGTAATATAGTTATAGACAACTATTTGAAAGGAACGAATTTATAGATATGTATTTTACTTAAGTATATAAATACGGTTTTTATTGTAAAACGATTAAAATAATAGAGACGGCTTAGAGCAACAACAGTAGGAAGTAGTACTAGGTACGCAGACGGAGCACAACGTTGTGTCCGGCGGTAATGGTAAGACAGACCGCATAGCCCGGGCTACTGAGGCCTGTTAGAAATGTCGCAAAGCAACGCAGTGTTGCCAAAAATAGCAAACACATTGTTTGAAATATTTAGTAATTATTGAGATGTGCAGCTGTATTTATTATATGTATTCATCAAATAACCAATGGTGCGAAAAATTAAAAAGCTGAAGATTTCGTATACAATTATATTTTAAAATCATGTGCCGATTTGAATTCCCTAATAAAAGTTAGTACATTTCTGAAATGGTTATCTTAATACGTTTAAGATAGAGTATTATGTATATATATATGGTATATTATGAACAAAGTAGATCAAACTAAATACTGAACCTGCAAAGTCTAATTAACAGTCAATAATACCTTCTCTCATCGAATACAGACAAATGGAAGCGGCTAAAGTCAAATACAATATTCCTAAGTTCATCTATCAAACCCTGGTATAGCAAGACAGATAAGTAATAAAATGTATAAAATAATTAAAAAAGCTGATTTATTGTAA